AGAGAAGAGAAGAGAAGAGAAGAGAAGAGAAGAGAAGAGAAGAGAAGGAGAGAAGAAGGAAAAGAAGAAGAAATAAAGAAGGAAAAGGAGGAGGAAAAGAAGGAGGAAAAGAAGGAGGAAAGAAGGAAGAAAGAAGGAGGAAAGGAGGAAAGGAGGAGGAAAAGGAGAAAAAGAAGAAGGAAAAGAAGAAGGAAAAGAAGAAGGAAAAGAAGGAGAAAAAGAAGGAGAAAAAGAAGAAGGAAAAGAAGGAGGAAAAGAAGGAGGAAAGAAGGAAGAAAGGAGGAAGAAAGGAGGAGGGAAAGAGAGAGAAAGAGAGAGAAAGAGAGAAAAGTAACTCTGGTGTTGAGTTTCACCCTCCACACGTGGAATGTCTCCAAGAACCTGGGCAGGGATATCAGGTGTCAGCTCAGCAGCAGCAATCAGCCAAAAGGATTCCTGGCTTTTTAACCAGCCTGAGCCAGTCGAAATAAAAAAAAGAATCAGCCTCACGATCCAGACTTCGAACAGCAAACAGGTAAAATCCCAAGTTTTGCCAGGCAGAGGGGGCTGGAAAAGCAGGCAGGAGAATGCTGGGACTGTACCTGCCGAAATCCAGGAGCGGCCCGTGCGGGGTGTACTTGAACTTGAAGTGGTAACACTCGGTGACCGTCTGCAAACGAGGGCAAAGGGGCGTTACACCCTCCCGGCAGAGCCCTGCTGCTCATCCAGACAGGGGGAATATTCCAGGGGTATGGAATAAAAGCCAAGGAAATGATGGTTGTTTTCCAGGAATTGCCCTGATAAAACACCCTGAAATCTCAGCTGAAGTTTTTAGCCTGAAATATTCTGATTTTCGGTCGCCCTGGAAACGTTCCGGCCGCGGGGACACCCGGGGGGGGTTTGTGTTCTCCACAACAATTCCCTGGATTCCTCGGGCACAGGGAGGCCGAGGATGTTCCCCTCTGCAGTGGCTCCTTGCACCAAGCTCACCCTGAACCCCCAGGGGCGATCCCAGCCCTGGCAGCTCCCACTGGCTCCGGGCATTTTGGGACTGCTGAGATTCCAGTTGGATATTTTAAGGTGCCCTTTTTTAAAAGATGTCCATGGAAAACCATCAAAATCCACCAAATGGGTCCAGGGGGGGGAAAAGGGAGTTGAGAAATGGGAATTTCTGCTCTGGGACAAAAACATCCCCTTTAATATGATCCTTCTCAGACAAATCTGAATTATTTAATTAATATTTAATAAATATATATATTTATATAGTTAATATTTATTTAATATATATTTAAATTATTTAAATATTTATTTAATATTATATATTAAATATATAAAATAATATAATAATATATATTATTTTTAATATGTATTATATTTTATATAATAGATTAAAAGTCTATATTAAATGCCTAATTAATTAAATATAATTCAAATAAATATTTATTAATTTAATATATTTTGTATTACCTACAATTTAATATTTATTATTTTAAATTTATTTATTATTCATCGTTTAATTATTATTTAATTATCATTTAATATTTAACATACAAACTGTATCTATATTTTATTTATTTATTATTAATATATTGTTATTCATTAGAATTATTTCATTTAATTATTTTTATTTTTTATTATTTACTGTATAAATTTATTTATTATTTAATTATATTTTTATTTAGTTTATTTAATTTTAATTGTATAAATATATATCTTTTAATATATATATTTATTTACTATATTATTATATTATTCATTAATTTAATTTATTTATTTAATATATAAATGTTATAATTTAATCATTTAATATATATTTATATATTGTTCAATATATATATTTATATATGTGTTCAATATATTATTATATTATTCATTTATTTAATTAATTTATTTAATATATGAATATATATTATTGAATATATAAATATATATTATTAAATATATAAATATATTTATTTAATATATAAATATATATATTTAATATATAAATACATATAATATATAAATATATATAATAGATAAATATATTTATTTAATATATTATTATATTAATATGTTAAATATCCCTGCTTCTACACTCCTTTTACTACATCCTTCCTGTCATTAGTCACCCAATGAAACATTGCAGCTGATTTACCTGAGGATCTTCTGGCTGGGTGTAGACCTGCATTTTTAGAGGGAAGAGAGGGATCAGAACAAGAACTCTTCAAACCAAATTCAGGATAAGGACCTTTAGAAAGGTGTCCTTTGCTTTTCAGGGATACTCACTGCGAGGACAATCTGCCTGAGCTGTCAGAGGCATTAACAGAGAGAGAAACAGAATATTAGCTGGATTTTGGAGCCCCTTTCTCCTCAGTGATTTGTTTCTCCACTTCTGGGAACCAACAGAGAACTGGTGGAAGAAAAACTTCCTCCTCTTCTGTTTAAGAGGGGACCCCAAACACCCCCAAACCCCTGACCTCCTGTTTATGAGGAATTTTATCCCGAAATTCCCGTGGCTCCCACACTGCCCAGAGTTCCTGGCACCTGAGGGGCTCCACTGACCCTTCCAACCCCTGAAAGGAGATGCAGGACTCACGTATTTCTTCTGCAAGGCATCGTAGCACCCCAGCATCCTGCAACAAAGCAAACAGCATCGGCCACGAGGCCCTAATTTCCATCTGCTTCTGGCTGAAACAGCAGCAAAAAGGGGAATTCTTGGGTTGCCTCATTGTGTCAGGGCAATAAATGGTATTTATGGCATTATTCTGCCTTCTCTGGGAGCAGTGGGACAAGCAAGGACTCCCTTTGGAGGGGCAAATCTTCCCAACCAAATCTTCCCTTTAACCAGTCTCTCGGGAGAACAATTAAAAATATAATCTGTGAGTAATTAACTTATCAGTGAAAACACATTGCAGCACTTCAAACAGCTTCTGACACGTGTTCATAAATCAGGTGAGCAACTTGGCTCAGTGGAAGGTGTCCCTTCCAAGGGGATGAGCTTTAAGGTCCCTTCCAACCCAAAGCATTCCGTGATTCCATCAGAAACCAGGAGCTCAGAGGAGTTCAGTTATTGCCCTTTGCCATCTGCCTTTCCTGGAACAGCCAAGGAACAGGCACAGAGGGAACCCAAACTCACCATTTCACCAGCTGGCTGGAGCCAGGGCAGTTCTTGTCTTCCCTCAGGATTTTGACACAGACATCTCAAAAAATAAAATAAAATAAAATAAAAAAAGCACATTTACTTAGGGCAAAGTGCAATTTCAAAAGTCATGTTCACTCCTTAAAAACACATATCAAAAAGAGGTTAAAATGAACATTACTGTTGAGCATGAGCACAGTTTTGATTGTTACAGCACGACCACTAACAAGATTCAGTTTAATGAATTAGTGAAATTTCCATTGCAGGCATTGAAATGGTTTTAAAATGGCTCTACAAACACCCAGAATTTGCAAGTTCTCCTGGAAACAGCCTCTTACCATCCATGTATCTCGTTCCATAGGCACTTTCAGGGAAGATTCCTCTCAGGTACGTGATGCAGGACACGGCCACTGCCAGGAGCCTCTTCACCAGCATCAGGGACTGCTGCTCCGTGGCTATTTTTTTAGGGAAGACAACTGCACTCTGGAAAATCAGAGGAAGAAATCAATTAAGCTGTATCCACAGCACCAAACCCGTCCAATGCCTTAATTTTAACTTAATTGAGAAGTCTGACTTCGTCGAGTTTTTAGGACACAGCTGGTTTTTACCAAGTGCACGACAACAAAACTCACATTATTTTTCTATTAAGCATCTTTATTCTTAATTAAAATAACACAATTAGCCTGAAATTTTCCAGTGAAGAACTATCACCCGGGTGCACTATTTCAGCCAAAATTCCCCCCGTTTTTCCCATTAAAGAACAGACTGTGCCAAAGCCCACACCACAGCCGTACCGTGCAATTCCTTTGCTTCTGAGCAGTTGCCATTTCGCAGAGATTCTTCTGCCTGTGAATGAAACACCTGCATTAACACCTGGAGGAGCAGAAGGGCAGCAAGTCCAGCGTGCAGCTCCCACAGGGCATTCCCTGGGTCTCCTGCACAACTCACCAGCTCAAAGCAACCTGGAATTGTCAGCAAACAGAGCAGGACAGTCTGTCTGATAACCCCCAGCATCAGATCCTTGATTTCCACAGCAGCACAGGCCTCCCCCGAGGCTGCAGGACGCAGTAATTAGAATATTTATGTCTGTATTTCTATGAAATACGAGCTTCCAAAGGAGATGCTCCTCAGTGCTAACTGGCACCCAGCCCACTGGGATTTTCAAAGGGCTTTAAGAAAAGGCTCCTCACATTTCAAACACCCCCCAGCTTGGGTTGGTTTATTCTGTGATTTAAATGAGTGCAGGAGAAAGAGAACCCTCAGCACCCCTGAGCCTGACTCCGCACGAGTCTGGGAAATGAAAGGCATCCATGTCCCAGGCCGTGGAAAATGTATGTCCCGAGGAAGGGGTTGGCTCTGGGCAGCGCAGGGAACAGAGGTGCCCCTCAGCAAGGAGCCCACAAACCCCCCTGAGCACGGCAGGGCTGTGCTCCTCCAGTTCCTGAGGGCAAGGGGCTGCTGAGGGCTGAGGGTGAGGAGCTGAGAGTGAAGGGCTGTGGAGGATGAGGAGCTGAGGGCAGGGGCTGCTGAGGGCTGAGGGTGAGGAGCTGAGGGTGAAGGGCTGCTGAGGCCAGGGGCTGAAGGCAGGGATGCTGAGGGCAGGGGCTGGTGAGGGCAGGGGATGTGGAGGATGAAGAGCTGAGGGCCAGGACCTGAGGGCGATGGGCGGCTGAGGGCGAAGAGCTGAAGGTAAGGATGCTGAGGGTGAGGAGCTGAGGGTGAAGGGCTGCTGAGGGCGAGGAGCTGAAAGCAGGGGCTGCTGAGGGCGAG